TGCATCTCCTTGAGCAATCTCTCCCCAAGCTATTCATTAGCTACAAAGGATAAAGGCTTTACAGCAGATAGACCCAGCAGGCATCTGCTTAAAGAGCCAATGAATCAGGGTCAGCAGCAGCAGCAGCAGCAGCAGCAGCGGGGGCAGGCATAAGGCTTATCTACACCACAGACTCTCCAGTGCAGAGAAGGACACAAAGTCATAGCTACAATCTTCTCGCCCCAAATGCAACATTAGTATTAACCTCCAAACAATAGCAAAGAGATTAAAAAACTGACCAGTTCTCAGAAAATACAAAGGTCACAGAAGATAAGGATTTACATGCTGGCTGTGGGGGGTGCACACCCTGCAATTCTTGCACTCGAGAAACTGAGGCAGGAGGATTTCCCCTTTGAGGCTAGCCTGGGCTATTGATCCAGACATAGCACAGCAGGAGACAAAAGCCGCGCCTTCCCTCAGCCCAAGGTGAGACCTTGTAATAAAATTAGTGGTGACCTTGGGGATGTTTGATTGAGGTCTGCAGTTTAACTAGAATCTGCCAGTGTTCATTCCTGCCTTTGTTTAGTTTGACTCTGCTTTGGTTTGTTATGGTTAGAGTCTTAGAGTCTTACTCAGTACCCTTGGGTAGCCTGGAACTCACGATGTCACCGTGCCTGGCTTTCCTTCTGTTTTTACGTGGGTTTCATTGCAGTCTAGACAGATCTCATGCTCCTGAGTTCAGCATTCCTCCCGCCTCAGCCTCCCAAGTAGCTGGGATTGCAATTCTCTTTCAGATTGATTTTGTGTGTATCAGTGTTCAGCTGCGAGCATATCTGTGTTCCATATGCTTGATACCCATGGAGGTCAGAAGAAGGCACTGGATCCCCTGGAACTAGAGTTACAGATGTTTGTGCACTGCCCTGTGGGTGTTGAGAACTGAACCAAGGTCCTCTGAAAGAATAGCCAGTGCTCTTAACCACTGAAGCATCTCCTCAGCCCCTCAAATTTCAATGTTTAATAGTCCTACCACTGTTACATAAGATGTTATCTTTCTTGGCTAATAGAGAATTCAAGTCCAGTCTGAACTGCACAAGACCCTTTCCCCAAACCAACAACAATAAAAAGATGTCAGAGGCCTGGAGCAATGGCTCAGTGGTTAAGAGCATTGGCTGCTCTTCCAGAGGACCTGGGTTCAGCTCCCAGCATACACATGTTGGCTCACAAGGGATCAGATGCCTTCTTCTGGCCTACACCTGCACAGGGACACACATGGTGCACAGATACACACACGGGCAAAACACCATACACATAAAAGTAAAAAATAAATTATTAAAAACAGAAGGAATTCAGCCAGACTTGATGGCACACACCTTTCATCCCAGCACCTTGAGGGGCAGAGGCAGGTGGATTTCTATGAGTTAGAGGACAGCCTGACCTACATAGTGACTTGAAGACCAGCCAGGGCTTCATAGCGAGACTGTCTCAAAACAACATCAACAACTAAATAAATAAATAAATAAATAAATAAATAAATAAATAAGGAATCCAAAGTACAGTATGCCCAATTTTGGGGGGGAAAAAACTAACCTGAAAAAGAAAATATAAAAGAAAATAAAAGCTTTAAATGAGGATAGTGGACTCTATTAATATTAACATTATTCCAGGTTGTGTGACCTACAGCCAGACTCTACCTCAGTGGGTCTCTATTTAGTATTATTGTTATTACTATTATTGTCATTTTGTTTTGGAGACAGACTCTCACTGTGCACCCCTGGCTGTCCTGGAACTCACTCTGCCTCCTGAGTGCTGGGTTTAAATACTTCTATTATTTTTGAGACAAGGTCGAGGCTGCTCTTGAACTCATCACCCTCCTGCCTCTTCCTTCAGAATACTGAGACTGCAGACATGTGCAACCAGGCCCAGGTGGCTTTACCACCTCAGGAATTCCTCTACAAGTCTCAAATTACTTCAAATTTAAAAGTTTTACGTTTTTGTTTCATTTGTTTTTTTGCTTTTCAGGACAGGGTTTCTCTGTGCAGCCCTGGCTATCCTGAAACTTGCTCTGTAGACCAGGCTGGCCTCAAGCTCAGAGATCCACCTGCCTCTGCCTCCTGAGTGCTGGGATTAAAGGCCTGTGCCACCACTGCCTGGCAAAGCTTTAAATTTTTGACCAACAAGAAACAATCCTATGTTACATTTGGGGGTAGTTCCAAAGAAAAGGAGCCGCAGCTATCCCCGACTGCGTCGAGTTCTTGTCCCCTGCTTCTGCCCCTCTGTGTGAGATTGCACAGCCTCACAGCAGCCAGAACGGTGGATCCAGATGGACTGAACTGGAAGTAAATCCAGGAGAACCCCACGTCTACTCAGCCTGACGTTAAAGAGATTTAAGGGCTGCTGAGCTCGCCCAGTGGGTAAAGGCACCTGCTGCCAAGCTGACAACCCAACCCACCGGTCCTCTGGCCCCACCTGTGTACACACAGCAGCAAATCCAGGAGGTTTAAAGGGGAGATTTGAAACCACTGAGTCAGTGATATTCCCCTCACCGACCTCCACACACGCGTCATTGCACAGGCGTCCACATGCACGCACTCAGCGGTGAAAAAATTTAAATTGCACAGTTTAAAAATACGGGCTGGTGGGATGGTTCATGGTTCAGTGGGCAAAGGGGCCTGCCGCCAAGCCTGATGATTGGAGGGCGATCTCCAGGACTGACTCTCGCGAGCTGTCCTCTGACCGCTACACACATTTATTAAGAGATAAATAAATAAAACGTAATGGGTTTTTAAAAACAAAGTAAAACGACAGCATTCTTCATTAACTCCCTTCTTTGGTAAATATAGTTCTCACTCAACAAAAATGACGATTACACAGGAGGTCTTTGTCACTATTTTCTTCTTTTTGGAGTTTTGTGTTTGGCAGTGTTGGGGATGAATCCCAGTCAGTGGAGTGAGAGAGAGATCAGTTTCCCTCATATGCAGAATCCGGTGTGTGTGAGTGTGTGTGTGTGTGTGTGTGTGTGTGTGTGTGTGTGTGTGTGTGTGTGTCTGTGTCTGTGTGTGTGTGTGTGTCTGTGTGTGATTTTATCCCACGAGGGAGAGGAAACAGTCTAAAAGGGAGGGAGGGAGAGGGGACGATGGGGATGAAGGACATCAGCCCATGTCCTCTCTCCTGCAAAGACTCCGAAGCTGACCAATTACATACACACGTGTGTGTGCCCATATGAGAGCAGATGGGAGATTATTGGAGGAGGAAGAGGACCAGTGAGAGAGAGGGAGGAGGGATGGGAGGGAGAGGAAACGGGGAGGGTGCCATGATAGAAACTATGAAAATGTCCTGGTGCCGGCCAGATGGCTCAGTGGGTAGAGGTGCTTGCTACCAAGCCTGATGACCTGAGTTCAGTCCTGGTACTCCCAAGATGGAAGGAGAGAACCCACTCCTGAGAGTTGTCCTCTGACATACACGCGCACACAGCAGGGACACACACATATGCACATCCATACACACAAAATAAATAAACACATGTAAAAAAAATCCTAACGAAAATGTCCTGAAACCACTATCTTGATTTTTTTAAAATCAAAACAAAGCATCGCACATGTAAGGAAACCCATCGCATGAACCCATTCGTTCCCTAAGGTTGGCGGCCACCTCTGGTGGTATAACCCGGCTCTAACACAAAATGGGGTGAGAGAGGGTCTCTGTTCCACCCAGAGCTCAGTCATGTGACTGCACAGAAAACAACTGGCAACCCGTAACTCCTACCACAAGGTCACCTCTTATCCCCCCACTGGCCCTCAGTGCCCAAGTGTGCCTTAGCAGCTAAGTGACAGATCTGGGATTTGAACTCAGGCAGTCTGCACACAGAGGAGCCAGAGTCTCCAAGCCTTGTCCCATGTGCCCCATACCTCTTTTTTGTTTTGTTTTGTTTTGAGACAGGGTCTCACATAGCCCAGGCTAGCCTGGAACTCACTTTATAGCCAAGGCTGGCTTTGAACAGATCCACCTGCCTTTACCTCTCAAGTGCTGGGCATAGAGGTGAGAGCTAATACATCCAATAGATAGATTTTTTTTTTTTTTTGGAGGCAGGGTCTTATGAAGCCCAGGCTGGCTTCAGATTTGCTCTTTAGCCAACGCTGGCCTTGAACACCTGTCTCTAGTGCCTCATCTCCTGAGTGTTGAGTTTAGAGTAACCTCTCCAGCTCCTACCACCTCTTGATAACAGATCTCCTCCAGCCTGGAGCAGTGGTCCGTGCCTGAAATCCCAATATTTGGGAGGCTGAGGCAGAAGGATTGAGATTCAAGGCTAGCCTGGGGTACAGATCAAGACTCTGTCTTAATAAACCAGATTTTAAAAAAACAAAACCAAAAACATCTGGTGTAGCTCAGTTCCGTAGAGTGCTTGTTCAGCATGCACAAGGCCCTGAGTTCAACCCCTAAGACCTAGTCTCCAAAAGAAAAGACAGAGAGAGAAAGAAAGAAGAGGAGAGAGAAGAAAAACGCATGGCGTCGTGGCTCACCCCTTCAATCCCAGCACCTGAGAGCCTAAGACAGAAAAAAGGCACAGGGATACTTTCAGGCTAGCCTGGGCTACAAGTCTGAGAAACTGTCTCAAAAGAATAAAACAAACACTTGGGAAGTAGAGGCAGGAATTTTAGGAACACAAGACCAGCCTGGGCTAGGAGGGATGGAGAAAGAGGGGACCCAGGGAGATCTAGTTCCCCCTTTATTCATTTACTGGCTTCTTCCACAATTGACTTCTGAACTCTGTGATAACATGCCAGTTCCTGGGGTAAGACAGTGAGGCGGTGAGTGAGGACAATCCTCCAGAGCAGCTTCATCCTTCCCCACACAGTGGGACACAGGCCTGCTGAAATCCCATTTCACAGAGGCAGATCACTGAGGCTCAGAAGTGCAAGTCACCAGCCTGGGTTTCCACAGAGATTCCTGAGCCCTTCACCCCCAGACAACCCCAGGGCTGAAGAAGGAGAGGCAGAATGAGGTTGAGAGTCCGGGGCACTTACCTGGGTAGGACAGATGGACTTGCTCTGGGGTAACGTGAGGATACTCCGGGGATCCCTGGACTGCCAGGGAGAAAAGGAGGAGCAGACAGTAGTAGAGCCAGCACCCAAAATAGGGGCTCATGGTAGGGGGATGGTGGGGGCAGAGTCAAATGCAGGGATGCGATCAGGTTCCGTTGGTGGGTCCCACAGAGGATGGAGAATGGAGAGATGCCAGGCAGGGCCGTCTGTGTCTGTCCGTGGGTCAGGGTGTCCGTCGGGGAGGGAGACTGAATGACTGAAACGTCTCTGAGGGGAGTGGCGAAGCAGATGCTGGTGAGAGAGAATAATTAATGAGGTCTCCGAGCCTCGCTGCTCAGCACTTTGCATAGATTAACGCCGGGAGGCCTCGCAGCATTCCTGTGAGGTGGTGGCCACAGTCATCATCAGCCCCGTCACATATAGGAAACTGAGCAACCAGGTGACTCAATGGCACAGATGAGATGAAGCTGGCTTTTGAACCCTTCCGGCCCAGGCTCCTGCTTCTGGGAGGGGCTTGGGGAGGGGGCTGGGTGACTGAGGGCGGGATGCCTTTGAGGGCTCCATCCTCAGCGGTCCATCTGGCTAATTGTAGCAGTCCCAGCTTCGGGGGCCTGGGGCTCAGACACCTTTGACAACTCCATCCCCAAGATCTCAGCCTTCCTTAGCAATCTATTCCCCGAATTCTTTGCATCCATTATCAGATTTCCACTTTATTCTTCAGGACCCCATAGCTCCCACTCTACTCCCAGATTGCTCATTAGCTCCACCTGCCAGGAGCAACCTGGTCTCTTTCCTCTCTCCAGCATCCCATCCTGCCTCCAGCCGGGCTCCATCCTCACCCTAGCTGCCTCCCCAGCCCTGAACCTGCATGTGCCTGAACCCCGTTTTCTCCCCAGTTCTCTGGCCGACTGAGGTTCTGAGGTTCTGTCCACCTGCCCTGGGGACCTGGGCAGGTGCATCGGGTCTGGAGGAACCATCCCCGGAAGGCCGGGAGCTGGGGCGTGGGGGGCGCAATCGGGGAGGGGACCCCGGCTCACCCTCAGGGGCGCTCCAGCTGCCCTCACGGTCCTCTCGGCCACCACCGATGCGCTGCAGTATTTATGCGCTTGCAAGGACACAGGCTCCCGCCGCCCACAGGTGTCCCAGCCCCGGAAGAGCCGGCTGCATCGGGTGACTGACGGGCTCCCCAGACAGCCCGAGCCCCGGGTCCCACAGGTCTGGCCGGTCTCTAGTACCCCACGCCCACCCTCCCGCCCCCCTCAGGGTGGGGCACAGAAAGGGGGACCCAGAAAAGCATGGAACACTGCCACCTCCGAGCCAGGCAGCAGGTGAGCGCCGGGACAGGTAAGGCTGCGCTGTCCCTCGGCGTCCCACCTTCCCAGCTGCGGAGCCCCGGGGTGACAGTCACCTGCCTTCAGCCCCACGGGAGGCCGCGACCTCGGGGTTCTCAGCCCTCGCTATCGCGCCAGCAACATCTTCCTCTCAACTCCTTCCAGCTTCCCAAACCCACCCTGGGCATTCTGGAAAACACAAACTCCCAAGGCCCTGGTGACAACGGCAGCGTTTGTGAGCCCGGCGCCCTAGGCACAGTTGCTCAACCTCGCTCCGGCCTGTTTTCTCACCTGTAAAAAGGAGGGGATGGTAGGCACGTACCCCGGTGTGCTGTGCTGAGAACCAAGTTCAAGTCCAGAACCCGCCCCCGGAGTCTGGGTGGGAACAAGTGGGGATTTGGTGGGTAAACCTTTATAAGCTGTCTGGGTGCTGAGGGGGCTTTTGGCAAAGGATGCTTAGGATTCCCCAGACCCACCGCAGACACGTTCTTGAGGAAGCGGGTGTTTGGGTTTTCTGTCTTCCACCCATTTTCTGTCTGCAGACGCGATGATTCCGCGGTTTAGATTTGTAAATTAAGTGTCTCAGTCTTTGCTGGTGGAGGGTGTGGAGACTCAGGGTGGGGTCTCCAGTCCTTAGCACTTTTGAACTCCCCAATCTTTCCAGAATCTTCATCACAACTTAAAATGCAATCATAATAATAAATAAATAAATCACTTGGGCCCGGCTCTGGTGTTTCACACCCTTTAACTCCAGCACTGGGGAGGCAGAGAGTCCTTGTAAGTTCAAAGCCACCTAGCCTGGTCTGCGTGAGTTCCAGGGCTACACAGTGAGAGCTGGTCTCAAAAATAAAATAAATAAAAGTAAGTCACTTGGAGGCAGTGGTGCATCCCCTTAATCCCAACACGTAGGAGGCTGGAACAGGGGGCCAGGAGTTTGAGGCTGCCTAACTAGACCCTATCTTAAAATAAAATACCACAAAACAGCTCTTTTCGTCAATTTCAACTTTTGACTCACCACTACTGGGGCAGCCACACTGAAAGCCTTGCCTTCGGGTATTCTTCCCGGTGACCTTCCAGAATGGAAGGTTCTTAACTGGTTTTATGCAGAGAGTGCCTGTGGCAAGCTCCTGAGGCTCACACCAGTCGTGTTTTTACATGTATAAGATAAACACACAGATTTACAAAAGAAACCCAAACCACCAAGTTGCACATTGCCAGATACTTTTTCAGCCAGTGTGTAGTACAGCATCATATGTACTCTTGCGTTTATTTGAAAACAGGGTTTTATATAGCCCAGACTAGCCTGGAACTCACCATGTAGCTGAGGATAACCCCAACTCCTGATCCTTCTGACTCAGTCTGTCAAGCGTTTCTATTACAGCCATGTGACATCATGCCGGGCTTTTCTGTTTGCTTGTTTTAAATTCTTTATCACAGCTATGCATTTGTATACATGTGTGCTTGTTTGCTTGTTTTAAATTCTTTATCACAGCTGTGCATTTGTATACATGTGTGTTTGTTTATATTCCTCCAGGCCCTCGCATGTGGGTTTATTTATTTTAAGTTGGGGGTCTTGAAATGTAGTCCAGATTGGCCTGGAATTTATTATGTAGCCCAGGCTGGCCCTGAGCCTTTTCTGCAATCCTTCTACTCTGACTCCCGTGTGCTGAGATGCCAAGCACCACCATGCCAGGCTGTGCTGATTCACATGTTCACCGAACTCAAGTCTGGTGTCAGATCCAAAAGAACAGGTAATCTAGAGGCTTTGTTGCTTTGTTATTTTGTTTGTTTGTTTTTTCATTTTATTCTTCATATGAAAGCTTTATTAGGAAAGTTCTAACATCCCAGCCACAAGCAGATCTCATCACAGGGTCCTGGGGGCAAGGCTTCCTCCTTGTCTAGAAGTTTCAAGTGTTTTGGGTTCCCAACAGGCCTGTAATAGGAGTTAGAAGCATCCTGGGAGTTCTCCTTGGACCAGGCCCAGGTCAGGTAGTGACTTGGTGGTCTGCTGCCCTCCTGTTTGTGTGTGTGTGTGCGGGGGGAGCAGTGTGCTGAACTCCAAGTGCTACATCCATCCTTCAGCGTTCCTCTCAGGCCTGCTCAGCAGGTTGAAGGGATTGCTGCCAAGCTGATGACCTGAGTTCCGTCCTCAAGCCCCACGTGGCAGAAAGAGAGAAGTAACTGCGTGACCTCCATGGGCACACACTTTGGTGCTCACACACCCACAGTCACACCCTGCCCCACCAAATAAAGAAACAACGTGATTTTAAAATGAAGGAGAAACCACATATGTGGAGATGGGTGCAGTGATCTAATCCCAGCACTGGGAAGCTGAGGCAGGAGACTGCTGCTGTTAATAGCTCAAGGCCAGATTTGGCTACACAGTGAGTTCCAGGTCACTCGAGGCTAGAATGAGGGGCTGTCTCAAAAAAAGGAAGAGGGAAGGAGGAGGAAGCCATGTCGGAAGGGAGCTGGGTGTTGTGGTGCACTCTTACGAACCCAGCATTTGGAAACTGGAAACAGGAAGATTGGGAGTTCAAGGTCATGCTCAGCTATATACTGAGTTTGAGGACAGCCTGGGCTACTTGAGACCCTGGAAAGAAAGGAGGGAGGGAGGGAGGGAGGGAGGGAGAAGAAGAGCCCTCGTCTGTGAGAGCGGCTGTGGGAGTCAGCACCCACAGCTGCTGTGTAGCTGTGATCTTGAGGTTGAGTGTGGAACATCTGCTGTGGGACCAGCTGACCTGTGTCAAAATCTAGCGAGTGCATCAACCTTAAGCAAGTCATTTGGCCTCACCATGCCTCGGTTTCCCCATCTGTTGAAGGGGATGACAATAGTGAGTTCTTGGGGTTGTTGCAGGGGATCAGATTAGATCACAGACAGAAACCACTTAGAATCGTGCCTGGCGCAGAACACGTGCCCTGCGCAAGGTCCCTTCCAATTACCGTGATACCCAAGATACGCAGTCGGCACAGTTTGGAAGATAAGCTGTAATGAGCCTGCTTTCCTGAATCGTTTTAAAATGCTGATGAAATATTTCACACAAACAGAAAGGCACATGAGACAGAGGGCTTCACTTAATGACTGTGGGTCATACCTGTGCACTCATTACCCCTGTGGAGGGTGGGGGGCAACACGATGACGTCAGCTTCCTCCTCTACATGCCCTCCTCCTCACAGAGGAAGCCACTGTACTGACTTTGACCTGACCTTGATGTTCCCACCAGAGTGCCTTCTTGTACACAGTGGTTTCATTTTGCCTCTCCGTGCACGTGACCCAAGTAGAAAAATGTTGTATGAACTCCTGTACTTGATCTCCTTCTCTCAGCGTGATCATTGTGAAATTTATCTGGGCTGGGCGGATACCTGCTCCATTCCTTCTCATTGCCAAGGAGTATTCCATTGTGTGAGCACACCATGATTTATCTGCCATCTGTCAATGAAAATGGGAGTTTATGTAGTGATGACTTTGGCTCTTGTAAGTAGGTTTGCTTTAAACATTCTTGTTGATGTTTTGTAGGTGAACATATATACACACTTCTTTTAGGTAGAGAGCCAAGAGTAGAATGACTGGGTCACATGGGGTGTGTGTGTGTGTGTGTGTGTGTGTGTGTGTGTGTGTGTGTATAGATATGTACATATGTGTGTGTATGTGTGTATGTGCATGTGTATAGATATGTATATATATATGTGTGTGTGTTGTGTGTGTATATAGATATGTATATATGTGTGTGTATGTGTGTGTGTGTGTGTATGTGTATGTGTGTGTGTGTGT